AGGCAGCTCCACCTACACGCCTGTCGAGCGGGTCGGCCTAGCCGGCAAATGATCAGGCGCTTGTCGGAACACTCGAAGGGTCCGAGATTAAAGTGCAAATTTAACTTGGCAAGCAGTGTCATGCTTAGCATACATCCCTAATAGATCTTCTCAGACTCCACAGATAACAAAAATAATTAGTTCCCCGTGTTCTTGAGAAGCAAACTGACAAATTGTGCGAGACATAAAATGTCATGGACCCACCCTGGAATTGTCCTCGAGCTTCAAAATTTCAAAGTGGCTTTTCTCGAAAGCGCCGGGAAGCGAGATCGGACTTTGTTGAGCGGTGCGCGAACAGATCAGACTTTGTTGACGGGCGGGCGAGCAGATCGAACTTTGTTGACGGGCGCGCGAACAGATCGGACTTTGTTGACGGGCGCGCAAACAGATCAGACTTTGTTCTTAGGACGCGTCGAATCACATTTTCGCTGTAAATTTACAGCAATTTTTTTAACAGTGAGGGGTGAAAGCTGGGAAGTCATACACTTTTGTGTGGAAGTTAAAAAATTAACTAAATAGACTCGGCTAATTTATTTTACAACTGAACGGCTGATACATTTACTACAGGTTGGCCCATTGGTCGACGCAGTCGGCAGCCTTGCTAGCCCAATTTTCGTAGATGGAGGGCTCGTCCGTGCCTTTATTGGTGACGCATGTTACAAAGAATTGGTGCCAGTCCCGTCCGAGATAGCGGAAGTCGACCACAGACAGGCTGATGCAGGCCGTGAGCGGATGCGTGTCGCTCACCCCCGGCTGCTTTGCGAGCCCCACACAGGTCTTCAACTTTGTGTCGAGAGGCGCATTTGCACGTGCCGCGCCCTGCTGCACCAACTGCCAAGCAATACACAGTTAAATGTATTACTTTCGTCGGTCTGTCGAATGCGACGACCGGCGACGACCCTGCACTGATATATGAAGTGTGCAACTGACACACACTTGAAGGTGTTTAAAACCGTGTCGCACACTTCTATGTGTGCAACACGAGTTTTGAATAGTTGAAAGTGTTCAACAAGTGTGTTGCACACTTTTAAATGTTCAACCTGACCGACGAGCCTTATAGCTAACGCTCAAGTTGAACACTAAAAAGTGTGAAACACACCTGTTGAACACTTCCAACTATTCAAAACTCATGTTGCACACATAGAAGTGTGCGACACGGTGTTAAACACCTTCAAGTGTGTGTCAGTTGCACACTTTATATATCAGTGTGCCTGCAGCGAGCGAGCATCGGATGCCTACATGGCGTCCGAAAGCGATAGTGCGAGTGAGAAGCTCGCGCCGCGCCATAGCTCCCTCTCACTCCAATCCGCTTTCGGACGCCATGTAGGCATCCGATGCCCGCTCTCTGCAGGGCTATGAAAGGAAGGTTGGTGATCCATGGCTACCCCCTGGCTTTCTTAAACTATGTGGAAGAAGGCAGATTAGTTGATCCAGGAAGCGGAAGAAGGGATTAACTGACATAATCCCAAACTGAGATTTTAGTGGGCGTTAATCTACAGTAAAACTGGCACCTTTTCCGAAAAAGCTGTTTGCCTATGTGCTATAGTTCTTGAGATGTAAAAAAAAAAGATGAAAACTGTGCAGCTCGAGAGACTCCTTGGACCTTTCTCTTTTCAACGATATCTGGTTCAAGTACATTATCTTTTCGGAATAAGCGGTTATTTTAGGGTTTTCGGACCCCATACACAATCTCAGCAAAAGTACTTGATTTTGACTGACTTTGAGGCCTATTTATGATTAGAAACCGGCCACATTTGTGTATAACAAGCACAGGAGAGTGAGCTTTGGTTCTTTCTGAACAAAATGGCAAGGTTGGTTGAACTCTAATCTCATCTCACTCTGAAGATATCACCTTTATGACCCTAAATTTCCGTTTTCGCCCCAAAGTAACGCACCGAGAATACTGCCAAAAACAAATGAGAGTGTTTTATGGTCCTCTGCCAGCCATATTGTGGATACCTTTCAATATTTTAGACGAAAAGACTGAATTCTGAGAAAAACAATTACTTCTAGCGTTGTTTTTTTTAAAGAGAGTACTGCTCGTTTTGGCGTTCTAGCGCATTGCGTCCAGTTTCGAGTACACACAAACAGGTCTGCGATTCAATTGCTTCGCAACTTCAAAGAAAATGAAGGCATTGTAAAATTGCTTCGTACTACGAAGAGATCCTTTTGATTTTGCTTCATACTACGAAGCAGTTCGTCGTGGGGTTTCCAATGCCGTCGGTTTCTTTGTTTTACGAAGCGTTCGGTGTATTTTACATCTCGTTGGTATTCTTAAAACTAGTGACTACTAGAAGCTCTGTGATGGCTGCCTTACCAGCAATGTGGCTACTACTGCGGCGAAGACAAGTTTCATGGTGGAGAGCGCCATAGCGAATACTGCGCCGAAAGTGGAAGCGGTTCATCAAATAGGGGCGACCGCCACTGTGACCCTCGTGTCCGGTCGCCACGCGACATCGTGAAAATGCAATAAAACAGACAAATTCTTAGTAGCTGTAATTCCCAAGGTCATAAACCCCACTCGTTAACGTGAATGCAAAAACAAGGTTAGCGATAAGCAAAGCCAATTACTCCACTGACCGAAAAAAATAATTATGTTTGTCTTCATACACACACATGCACGATAACCTTAAAAAAGACGAATTGAGTTAGTGACCTGAGAATTTCAGGGTCATTTTGCATCATACAAATACAGCACAGCAATATCAAAGATGAGCATTCTAGCTCAAAAATTGACTTTTAATAAAATGAAAAACCAAAGGTCACGAAAATATGTTTTGTTAAATGGCATTTTCTGACGAAATTAAGGTGAAAATGACCAAATGGTTTATGAAGAGATTCAGCACTGAAAAATCGCAGAAATCTAAAAATGACCAAAAGTTGACTTTCTAATATACAATAAATATCAGGCTAAATAAAAATTGGAGGGATACTGGAATCTAATCATCCTACACTGTAAACGCCGCCCTGTATTCTTTTGGTGACGTCACGCCTCGTGCCTCTCTGCACGCCGCTCACGCCGCTTCACGTCAGTACAAACAATGACACATTTGACAGTACTTATTTCAGTTTTGTGTTCAAAGTTTTAGTTGAGAAAGTTTCAGTTGAGTAAATTTTAAATGTATCATCTGCTAATTATTGTGAACTTACAGTAAATATCGTCACAAGACATTCATCTCGACCTATGGAACAAATGAATTGTCACATGCGTGATAACTCCCTTGTGTCAATGATAATGCCGAGTTGTCTCAACTTATGAAACTAATCATTTACCTCTGGACTTATGTTTTGTCACATGGTCGAATATTTCTTAAGTCTTGAGTATAGACTACCAACTTGCAGGGGGTAGAAACGGAGCGCTCAGGCCGCACACCATGCGCGCCCGGGCCGCGCGCCAGCCGGTTGAGCACACGCATGTCTTTTCCGCACTTTTTCAAGCTGTTGGATATTTTGACCAACCGCATGAGTGGTATCGCGCGAAAGGGCAGAGTTCGAACTTAACCGAGGTACCTTTACAATCCACCTCCGGTTTTATTTGGCCGAGATAATTTGATTATAGTGAACCAACAGACCACTCGGAGGCCCCGCCGGGGAGCAAACATAACAAATTTTCCCGTAAGCCAAGCGATTGCATTGTTGAACGAGAGTGTAACAGGATTACTAAACCAGCTTTCGAGTAGGATATGTGTCCTTTCGGTCTGATCAAAATATATCCTCCATTTCATAAAAATAAGCTGATGTGAGATCGGCAGCCATTTTGGATTCGGCAGCTTATTTTACATTTTAATAATACTCTCGTGATTTGCGGCGAAACAAGAAGTATCCTATCCTGAGGCGCATTTCATGAGTTTTCCGACACCGTACGAGTTTTTATTCAACACTTCTGCCGATCAAGTGAAAATTTGTTCCTTTCACGCGACGGTGGATAACCTCGAGAGCAACCTGGGAATCCCGATTTGCGAGGTTGTCCTGATTCCGAGCTACCAAACTCAAAATCGGGTAAACGTGTCACTTAAACCAAGCCATCCTTCACCTGTATTCGGAAAACAATTCCCGGATTTCGAGGAGCAATGTCCTGATTTCAAGCTCGTTTGCTCAGAATCAAAACTGAGCGGCTCTAAATCAAGCTTTAGATGCTCGAAATCGAGAAGATGTATTTAAAGCCGAGAATATGCATCAAAAATTGAAAATCACCCTTTCATGACGCCTCGGATTCCGAGTGATTTGGTCACCGTGTGGAACGGTGGTGAGAGGGCGGACAGGTCGGGCTTACCCGGTTTATACACCTTTGCACTTGGATAGTAGTAGTTGTCACGAACCTAACCTCGAGGGTTGTCGGCCTACGACACCACAAAACACGCTGCGTGCCTTGGGGCAGTGGAAAAAAATTACATAGCTGAAATACGAAAAAAAATTGAATTTTTATTTTTGTCCATCTAGATTTTTTTTCGGGTACTACCGTTTCGAAATTTGAAAAAGCCCGAGGTCAACCACTAGCGGCATCTTTTAAGAGTAACTAGCAATTTTTTTGACCGTCGCAGACCCATCCGTTTCGCTACATTCGTGCACACCGAGAGGGACTACATCGTTCCAGTTGAAGGCGAAGATCGGCAAAATTAGTGTCCATCTATGCTCTTAATAGACCTTGAATCCTAAATCGATGCGGCGTGTAGTTTTTATGCACTGACGATTCTTGCAAACCCTTACATTTCACAGGTCCGCCCTCGTAAGTGACAAATGATTTTCGATTTGTGACAGTTTTTCACCCACAGGTCACCTTAAACCTCTTTCAACCAAGCGAAGAAAACATCCTGCTTGAAGGACAAGGTAAAACACGACACCTCAGTTTTACGAGTGCTCCCGTGGTGTATGTCGTGCCATCGTTAAATATCGTTGCATCATCATTAGATCGTTCCCGTTGAAGTCACGATCAGCCACGCGGTATTCCTTAAGAAGCCGGTGGGCCGCAGCGTGCAGACATTCATCAACATGAAGCTCTCCGTCGCTCTTGTCCCCTGCTTGTTGGTGATGGTTGCATTCCACCCAGCCCACCAAGCGGTAAGACCACGCGGCTTTCAATGTATTCAGATCAAAATGGTTGAAGGAAAACCGCTAAAAAGCACCGCCGTTTAAAAGGACAAAAAACGTAAACTGTACGCCGCCCCGAGGAGTTGCCTGCATTTTGTAGGTATTTTCCGCTTTCAGTCGCACGTAAAACATCAATGCATCAAGGGAAGGTGGGGCGCCAACCTAGTTAACATTTCATACTACGTGGGACCTCTTACTGGTCCTGCACGCACAGATATCGTATCATTCATTTTAAATACGGGTGACCTGCAGTAAACCGAAAAAAGCTGCTCTGCCGGCCGTCCACATGATCACACATGGTCACATATCTGCGCTACGCTACGATCGCTGTACGATCCTGTACCTCTATTACTAGGTAGATGTACGCCAGACCACGTCTCGCGTAACAGGCTTCGCGATATCTCACGAAACACTGTTACGCTGCGACGCGCCTGGCATACATCTACCT